CACTAAGCATCGACACTACAGAGCTCTATTGTCACGGTGAGGGAGCGCAGCCGCCTCGCGAAGAAAACCGCTGACATTAGGCTTGGTTATTTATATAGAAAAAGTATTAGCATAGAAGTAGATTATCAAAAAGCTTTTGAATTGTATCAAAAAGCAGCTATGCAAGGAAATTCTGATGCACAGAACAACCTTGGTTGGTGTTATGAAAAAGGACTGGGTGTGGATAAAAATGTTCAAAAAGCAGCAGAGTTGTATAAAGAAGCAGTCAATCAAGGAAATGTTTCTGCATACACTAGCCTTGGTTTATGTTACAAAAGTGGAATTGGGGTAGACAGAAATATTCAAAAGGCTATTGAATTGTTTCAAAAAGCAGCTAAATGAAAACATGCATATGGACAATATAATCTTGGTTTGTGCTATGAGGAGGGAATTGGGGTAAAGCAAAATGAACAGAAAGCTATTGACTTATATGAAAAAGCTGCTGAACAAGGCTACATTAAGGCACAAAATAAGGTTTATTTTTTTAAATATAATGATAAATCCAAGTTAAAAAGAAAGATACAAGAGTTAGCTGAAATTTATCCAGTTAAGAAGAGAATGAAGTAGAATAAAAGGTTCCAATAATTATAAGGCGAATAATTGTTTTGTTTTGTTTTGTTTTGTTTTGTTTTGTTTTTACAGTTGTTAGTTTTAATTTTGTTTATATACCAATTATAAATTATTATTATTGTTTAGTTAGTTATTGTTCATTTGTAATATCATTGTATCCATTCAAATGAAATTATAATAAATCAGATGATTGAGATGCCAGCATCAGCTTAACTTTTGTATTTATTCAATTAATAACACTTTTGCAATATGAATGAGATTGTTATTGTAAATCGACAATTTTGCGATTTTCTATCAATTATTTTGATCAGTTCAACTGATCGACTCCATGACGTAATTATTTAATCACGCAGTAGAAAAAAATAAGCTAACGTAGTTTACGGCGTAGTTTTAATAACCAATAGCTGATAGACTTGTATGTGTAATTAATGTAGTTAATTGTGACAACGTCAAAAGTCGGCTGAAATAGGAACCGCTTGACGACTTGGTTTAAGCATGTTGTTACGATACTATGAGAAGTATAATCTATTTAATTCGCAAATTTGAAAGGCGCTTCCCTGTGACTTAGGTCGTTTGTATGCTTTGATTTACAATTGTTAACAAGACTCTTCCATCATAAACGAAATTGGAAAATTGTACCTTAAATAATAATTAATTACGAGTTCTATACCGAAACCTGCCAAAATAAAAGTTACTGACCCATTTATACCGTTACTATGCCAAAATGGAATTCGACAAATAATTTTTTGACTTTATTTATACCGTCGGTTTACTGGTTTACTTTGACGATGCGGCGAGTTTTCTTTCATCATGCGGAGGACCTATCAAACTAATTGTTTTGACGCTGAAAGCCTTCATGCTGTTATTTTATTATATGTCAAAACTACAATAAATAATTCAAATCGCTGATCATATAGTATCACGATGAAGAGTAGGAATGATATATACATGACAAAGTATTATCATTTATTCTCAAAGCGAATGTTGTTGACAACGACGAAGGTAGCCCATGTTATTGAAGTTATGAGACATTGAACGGCGTGGGGTGAGAGAGGGAGAGCGGAAAAATCTGACAACATTAAATCAACGTTAAATTCCGCTAGCTGTAACAGAGACACAAAGGCATTTACGTATACTCTTGACGAACTGGCAGGGAATGAGGAAAGGAAATTTGATGTAGCTATCGGCGATGAAGTATTAATTAAGATGTTTATCTAAAAAGGATGTTGATAAAGGGTTTTTGTTTATTGTTTATGATTTACTGCTATATGATGACCTACATAGAAACAAACATTTTTGCAAATCGTTTACTAACTGTGAATAGGAATATGTGTCCGAAATATATTCAAATTGGCCATTGCTATTATTATAGTTATTCTTCGTATTTAGCGCAGATACGCGGAGGTTTACGGAATTGTTGTTTAATTCGACAAATCAACGATAATATAGTAATCGTAAATACTAATACTACACACAACAGTAGAGAATATGTCATCTTCCACATTTTTCAATATCCTCTATGCATGTAGCGAACCGACAGTAGAGTAGAAGCAACAATAACTTTTATTATTTGTCTAGACACGTGAACAGAGACAGTTGCAGTCCCAACACTGGCCTTTATATTAAGTGTTACATTTTAAAGGCGCGCATAACGCGCGACAGTTATCTTATCAAAACCCGTAAACTTTTGGCGCTATACAATATGTTCTAATACTAAATTATCAACATAGCCCAGTAACAGAGTAATCCAATTTCTCCACCCGACATTGTACTTCAGAGTTATCTATTGGGAAAGGCTGTGAAGAATGTGCGCAGACACTTGTCACGTCCCCGTCCACTATTACTATGAGATTTGACCTTTTCTTGTTTAATCATGAAGACAAAATTCTTAATACAATTCTACGTTTACCAGACAACCCAAAACTTGTTAGTTAATAGCCTGTGAAGCACCAATTTTCTCTTGTCTGATTACAATGAATTTCATATGCGTTTGTAGCATCTAATCATAATCCCTGAATAAGGATATTGAATGATCTAATTTGTAATTGTTTATGGTAATGATTTAACTAAAATAAGTAAGTACACGTTCGTAGGATAGATGATAACATGAGCAAAACTGGCGATCAAAGTTGTTATGTTTATGGTAATATTTACTGCAAGTAAGTACGTATAGATGCTGACTCAATAGCAAAATTATTCTATTGTATACGGTAACACAAATAAATATATTTTCCCAGGATAGGAAATTATTCTGTTGTTGGCTATTAAAGCAAATTATATCTTTATAGGCTAGATAACGAACGCAAAATTGTATCTTTATTATTGTAATCATAATTGTAAAGAGATTTAGATGTTTCTGTTGGTACAGTAATTTTGATAATTGTTGCTGTTACTCGATTATAAGAGTTATTCTCAACATTCAACAAGATAAGGATAATCACTCTCTACCAAAAACACAAAGAGCATTATTTAGCAAAAAGAAATATAAAACTATCAAATTTATAGACAATCGATCAACAAAGTGTTGGAAACGAAAATAAGCGGCATGTGATAAGGTCTGTTCGTTCAAACGAGATCAGAGTTATCATCTTTCTTGACCTTGCGATGAGTTCCTTTAAGATTATATTGATTAGTAAATTTAGCACGTTTCTCAAAATTTGCAACTTACGAAAACACACAAATAGACGCGGTCCACTATTCACTGACAGTAATTCGAAAGAGGAGAGGTTTAATAGCACCGTTGCAATGTTTGTTCTTGGGAATTTATTTTTATTGGATGGTGATAAGTCAACCGGAGTCGGAAGGTGGTAGTTGAAGGTGATGACGATAAGATTTGTCGTGAGAAGGCAAAGTATATAACCTTTGTTGGTGCTGTAAGGAGGGAGTTGGAGTAAAACAAAGCTATTGAATTATACCACATTAAGGTACTAAATAGAGTTTATTTTTTTTTAAATATTCAAACTAGAAAAAAAGATTCAAGAATTAGCTGAAATTTATCCGGCCAAAAAATTAGAATAGAAGTTTACTTTTTAGAAAAAAATACTATACGTTATTTCTATAGTTTAGGATGGTGATTGTCACTCAAGCACTTCTGGATACGGTGATCCAACATAACGAACGACGCATATTTCAGATCCAAATGCGATTCCGGCAAGTATAACTGATAACGGGGCTGGTGCTCGGAATCTGTTTTTCCGAAAGCATGTTAATTAATAAATAAATCTAATTCAAAGCCACACGCCTATTACTATTACTATTGTTAATTAAAACAGATGTTACACAGTGACTGTCATTTTATTTACCGATAAAGCATTGTGTAATGTTCAATTTAGGTAATTCGATTCAGCACGAGTTCATAATATCCTCTAAGCCTTGAACTTTAAGTACTTTGTAATCTATAATCCCGTCTGCTGACGGATTACTGTCAACCTATTACAAACTGCATTAGACTACTGCTTCTTTGGCTAAAGGTCGTCGAAAAGAAAGCAGCCCAGCAGTCCTTGTTTTTTGGGCGCTGATTATTCTTGATTTTAGTGACTATTTAATTAAATATTAGCATTGTTACTACCATGGCTCCCACAGAAGGAAAGAGCCGTAAACCAGCTAGTAAGTGCGAGTTTGTACTGAAAGAGTACTTGTCCTCCTTGCAAGCTACTGAACTCGCTTATTCATTTAGATACGGCGTTTAAGCAGCAACGTTTAAAGGCATGGCAACCGATCTTGACACCAAAGACAGTATTGCCCACCCTTTTCATAGTTGGGATTATATTCGCTCCTCTGGGTGGTTTGTTGTTATACGCTAGTAACACTGTAAGTTTGTTGATAATGAGTTAGTTGTCTCTTGTCAAAGGACAATCTGTTCATCGACATGCCAGTAATGCGTAATATATCTCGGACAATTCTGTTTTGCGTTTTATCATATCATATCAACTGGATGAAAAGTCGTCAGTTGATTCAACCATAACTTACTCATTACAGAATACATCGAACTGATACATTTACTCTTTCTATTACAATAGGTCTCCGAAATCGAAATCGATTATACAAATTGTGACAGCCAAGCACCAGCAGATTTTGGCCCAATGCCCTCCGACCTTGTTAAAATCTCGTTTGCCAGTAGCAATGGAGGCTCAAATAGTCCGCAATGGCGTGCTGTAGATGCCCAAACCGAATACGGTTTTCAAGCGAAAAGGTGTACGATTATGTATAGTATTCCAGCAAGGCTGAAAGGTCCCATCTATATGTATTATCGATTGACCAACTTTTATCAAAACCATCGTCGGTATGTAAAGAGTTTTGATGCCAAGCAGCTCCAAGGTGAGGCAGTGCCAGTGGCAACGTTGGACGCTGGAAATTGTAAACCATTAGCGTCGTTAAATGGAAAGGCTATCTATCCTTGTGGATTGATTGCGAATTCTATATTCAACGGTATGAGATGCATGTCAATTTATGAATTAATTTCTACAGGACGAACGCGTACGTTAGTTATTAACTTGCACTCTATCTATAACTACCAATCACATTATAGACACAATATACGACCCTATACTTCACAGCGCAGACGGTTCAAACACTACAGAGGTTAAATTCACTACAGCTGGAACAGCATGGCCATCAGACCATCAAAAGTATGGCCAAACAAAATACAACGTAACTGATATAGTTCCTCCACCAAATTGGGTACTAAGATTCCCCAATGGATATAATGAGACCAATATCGCTAACATTACTGATGAGCCATTCCAAGTGTGGATGCGTACAGCTGGGTTGCCTGATTTCAGAAAATTATATGCAAAAACAGGCGAGGCTTTTGAAGTAGGAACATACCAGATCGATGTTGACTCACGTAAGTAATGGAGAATAACAACTTTTATTTTAATATCAAACACTTATTTATATATATTCATTGCTTTTTTTTGATAGTATTCCCTGTTACCGTCTACGGCGGTAGAAAATCGATTGTATTTTCTACGGTGTCATTTTTGGGAGGGAAGAATCCGTTCTTGGGCATTGCGTATGTCGCAGTCGGTGTTTTGTGTGTGATTCTTGGAAGCGTATTTACAGCGAAACATTTGCTCAAACCAAGGTAAGCAGAATGCAGAATGATGACGGATGCTTATCTAATCATGCATATGTGTTACTGGATGTTAATTTCCTCATACTTTTTGTTTTGCTAGACAACTTGGTGACCATAAAAAATTATCATGGAATCAGAATTCGAAAAATCCAAAGGGAAGTGGTGGACAATAAATGCGATAATGTGGATAGGCTGTAAAAAGCTAGCTATAATTTTAAGTAGGTAAAACAAAGGAAAGAGTTTTATGTCTTAACTTTATTAGAATCGATACCAGAAGGTCATTGTTTTGTTTTTTTTCCTTTAGTGATTGTATCATATGTGTACTCACAATTAAAGTCTCAATAATATTAGATTATCGATCTTTTAATAACAAAGCAGTTAAAATTGTCAATTAGCACGTGAGCGTGGCTTTTATGGCTTTCCTTTGTACTGAGAATTACTAAGGATGCTTGTCTATTAGTTTCTAATTATGAACGATGGATAATGCTGAATTGATTAGTTACTATCTTTCTTCTCTTGGTAAAACTTTTGTCAGAGTCGCCGATCGATTAATTACAAGAATGCAAATCTTACATATCAAGAAAAACTTGTCCATTCGCGCAAACCGTTACGACAGCATAGTTACAAGTTACCTGTTACTATTACACCAGACATACTATTATGACTTGTACACCGCACTCTAGTCGACATTTACAAAAGATACTCCCACAACATATTCATCCAATAGATTTTAACTCCCATTTCAGTTTTGTCTATAATTTGTATTTTTCACACTTGGGTTTCCTCGATATTCTTAGAAAATAACAATTATATGTCAAATAAACTATATATATATATACGATGAAAAATATGATATTCGGACAATCCCCTTTCACAATGAAACTCACCATTTTAACCCAACATCGAATCAACTGTGAGAAAGTTTCTCTCTAGTTTTGCTCTCCATACCCATCCACTTCACCAATATCACCGTCATTATCTCCTTCCGATATATCATATCCGGTTCCCTCGATATCAATATCAAAATTTCCTATTCCATAACCATGATTGTTATTGTTATTGTTATTGTTGTCAATATTATTGTTAATGTTAATGTTATTGTCGTTGGTAATGTTACTGTTATTGATATTAACGTTACTAACATCATTATCACCATCGTTAATATTATCGTTCTCGTTGTTATCGTTATCGATACTGGCACTCCTTCCATCTGCGCCGATAGCGTTCACGCCCATTCGAGAGCTGTATCTGTTTCCCATTGTATTATCCAAACCGTTCAAATGGTGTCGTAACTCTCTGACACCCTTTCCACTAAACACACAAAACATTTGCCTCTGATGCTGGGAATAATCTTTCGGCGGAGGACGACCGAATTGTTGTAAATCAGGACGCTGGAATGCTGGCACCCCAGTCAAGGATAAGTGAATCAGCCGAGGACATGCGTTGATCAATTCCAACACTGCACCAATCGAGATGTTAATGCAATACGATAAATGAACTCGTTCCAGTCTACGATCCACCACTCGACTATCTATCAGTGCGTATATTGCTTGATCGGTAATATTACCGCATTTTACTAGCCCAATACGGCGTATTTCTGGGAGGTGAGCCATGTCGAATACAGATACATCAGTTAGCTGAGTGCATCTTGCCAAGTCAAGATACCTTAACCGAGTGCAATGCCTTGTTAGATGAGTGATTGAGTAATCGGTGATTCTCGAGCAATGGCCGAGGTGAAGGTAGTGTAAATATTTCCCAATATTAGCAATAGAATAAACACCCTTATCAGTAATAAGACTACATTTTGCCAGTATGAGAACACGCAGCTTTGACGCGCTAGATGTTATCGCCTGGATTGATACATCTGTGAGAAGATTGCAGTTGGTAAGGTCCAAAATACGGAGTTGGTCGAAACAACTAGGCATTGTCTCGGTGAATGCTTCGTCCGTTAATTTTACACAGCCTCCCAGCCGTAATTCTCTCAGCTGACTGCAGTTCTCGAGGACAAGTTGAATAGATTTATCGGTAATTTGATTACATTCAGTTAGATCTAATTCTAGCAAGTATGGACAGTTCTCGGCAAGAACAATGATGGATTCGTCGGTCACATGAATACAGCTGTTGAGTTTAATCTAGAAGAAGAAAAAAAGGGCCTGAATGAATAAAATAGTCTAAGAGTTTGACCAACTTGTATCAGGATTGAGACAATTACTGCCCTAGAAATCATGTAACTCTGTGTTCACTCGACGCATTCCTTCTCTTCAAATTCTCACTACATTCCATTCCATTCCCCTCCCCTCCCCTCCCCTCCCCTCCTCTCCCTTCTCTCTCTCACTCGCCATCAACTCACCCTTCTCAAGTTCCTGCAATTCGACGCTACAGCCCTAACTCCTTTATCAGTAATTCTCTTACACAAACTCATATTCAACCCTTGCATCCGCCTACAATGCTCACCCACCAATTCGGCAACATTATCAGTCAACCCTTCGATATCAGCAACATCCAACGCAACCAGATTCCTAGCCCTCTTTAGCAAGTTCTCTAATGCATTATCCGTCAACTTTTTGCAACCACACAACGTCAATCTCTCTAATCGCTCGCACGAACTCAATCGTTGGAGAATCTGATCGGATATGTTTTCACCAAGAAAGGAAAAATTTAGTCGTCGTATGAGGAGAGAGTATTGAAAGGTTTGGTTAGGACGAGAAAGAGTGTAGAGAAGTTTGATGAGGGAACCATTTCCGGTGAATATCGGTTTGTGCCAGAGGAGTTCTACTCCACAATGGCACCATGACTTGCACACGAAAATACACGATTTGAGGTCAGCGGGGGAGGTTATGAATTTGAAAATGTAGATAATGAGTTCTGAGGGAAGTGTTGCTGCTGAGACCAGCGAACGATATGGTATGAGCGGTTGATTATTGTTGAGGCTGTTTGGCGAGTGAAGAGGACGGTTGTTGGGTGAGTGATAGAGTACAGGCGAGTTGGTTGCTGATACCATATGTAGGGTTGTCAAAGTGGTTGTCGTTTTTAGGGTAGCCAAAGGGCGAGGAGTGGTGGTGGTGGTAGTGGTGGTGGTAGGAGGAGGAGCAGCAGCAACAGGTTATTATTGTCGAGTGTTGTCTGCTTTTTGATATTATTTTTTTTGCGATAATATTAAAATCTGCAATTGGCTCTATTGATGCTGGCGGTTTTTTGATATTGTTAAAGTGTCAAGAGGATCATGTGAGTCCAGCTGATGATGATTCTCGGATTGTTGGGGGAAAAGTTGACAGCTTGGCTGAGTGAGTATTTTATATAATATGTGTGTCAAATTATAGTTTCTTAATTTCTTTATTATATTTTATTTACTTTGTATAATTTTTTAATACATATCGTAATTGGATGAGATAATATTGGTATTTATTTTCTTTTTCTCTTTCTTTTCTTTCTTTTTTTTTTTTGAAAGTTATTTATGCTAGATAGTCAATGAATAATGGGTGACTAAGGCTTCATCCGGAATAAAAGGAAAGATAAACTGCATTTGGATTTGAGGGCGGTATACTAGAGTATTTATGTTGTCAAGTGTTCCACATATAAATGACGCACAATGTCCTTCTGCCTTTACGCTGAATGCACAAGCAATGCGTCAATCACTTTACCTATTATCGTGACCCAATTTGTTATCTTTACGAATACTTTTGACCGCTGTGAAGCATTCATTGTTTACGACGTTTCAGCAACTAAATAATGTTGAGTGGGCGGGATATGTGGCGTGCGAACAATATCTGCTAACCTAAAAAACAATCGCTTTGATGCATTTTGATGCAAGGGAACAAGTCATCTGGTAACAATCTCCCAACAATGATGACTCAATCATATCCATCAACGTAAGAATGAAAGACCCAACACATCCTGCAAGATTTGGGGCTCCTTAACAGGGGGAGAACTTATCAGTAGTGAAACTTTATTATTTACAGAATACTAATTACGTCATTAGGTAATCCAATTGTCTCGTATCTACATATTGCACAGGTATAATGATGTCTATTCCTATTTCTTTCATTTATTTACAGTCTAACCCATTATTAACACTGGAACGCTATACTCCTTACAAGCCTGCATTTTATAATACATCGCTACCTCATGCACAGGCAATGTACGAGTAATAATCACCTCGAAATCATACTTTTTTGACTTTATCATCTCCATAACGTCTGTAATTTCAGTTGGATGAATGGGTGATAATGCAATTTTCTGTGACACAAAAGGCCTCGGAGTGTAACAGACCACTCGAGGCGAAAGCTCACACCTAGCATTCTATATCGGTGTTTGTATCACAATATTAATTCAACGGCGCCAGGTCAGTATCATGTCTTTTATCGTACGAAAGCAAATCGCCCAACACATCACATCCATACCACATCCATACTTACGATCATAATGTGAGCTTTTTTAATCAAGTCACCAATCTGATACGATTCATTCTGGACACATTTTACCTCCCCAAATGTTCTCACTATCTCTAATTTTAGAGGATCCGAGTCAACCGCAATGACTCGTTTCACTCCTAAATACAATGCAGATAATACAGCGGATAGTCCGCATGCATTGCATCCCAGAACTACAACAATGGCATCATCACAGTCCATATGTAAATACTCTAGTCCTTGCTTCACCCAGTTGTAGCCAATTGTGAGTGGTTCGGAAAGAAGAATCGCCTCTTTATCAGAAATTTCGTGTGGCAACTTGGTGAGTGCCCATGAGGGATACGAAATACGAATGTATTCTACCGGGATTCTGCAGAAGTCGTTCTAGGTTGTGGCAATAAATTGTGAAACACTATTAGTGTGCTAATATTCATATTACTACTTGAGCACAATGAATAACAATGGTATCTATTACTATGCAGTCACCTTACCGAGTTTAGCGCCGGATTAAAGCATACCCGATCCCCAACCTTGAATTTCTCCACCGCCCCTCCTACATCAACTATTCGACCAACCACTTGGTATCGTGGTGGCCGATCTACTATTAACACATAGAACTTGATCAAAATCGTTATAAATATGCTCAAGCTTGCATAAAACTATTACATAAACTTGTGATGTGCGGTGCTCGCTTATGAACATCGGTCATCGCAACACAAAAGCAAGCCCCAAATAAAGATCACGAAAGCCATACAAAGCAGTCTTACTCAAGCAAAAAAGCCATGCATCATGCACTTACGTTTATCGCATCCAAACATATCAACTTTGATCACAACATCAGTGAGGAGCTTGATATCGGGTATTGAAGAATGATCAGGACCGTGACCAGAGATCGTGACATTATGCATTAACATAGCTTCAATAGTTTCGTCGCCAGCGACTCCTAGCACTCGATGTTTAAAGCGCCGCAAATGATTTATAACACCTCCGCTCGTGAACTTTCTATTGCTACACAATCGACATCTGAATATCGTGCTGGGACATTCGCCTCGTGCGAAAACTTCTTGAAAAGTAAAGCATGGCTTGACGGTTAACGCCTCTTTACATATACGCGGTATGAGATGTTTGACGAGGAAATCCTCATTCCACGATATGCTTGGGTCGTTGTTATGATATGGAGGTTTTTTATACGAGTTGCAGCAACGCGCGCGTTGTTCTGCTAAAACTAATATTTGAGCAAAGTTTGTATCATCTGCTTCAAGGAGATTGACAGGTTGTCCGGTAACTCGCATAATAATATCCTTGGCCATTTCGGTTAGACGTTCTCTCTCAGCATCTGGCAAAAGTTTCATAGTCTCTAGGGCCGGTTCTTTGTGTGCGAGTTGTGACGGCTCAGCTGGACACTGTGATGGACAAAGTGGCTGATATTTAGCGCGCTCAAATTCCCATGTCTGTAGTAGAGCTTTCCTTAGTTGAGAAATCATAAACGTTATTTCCATCTGTCTTCTCATGCACTTCCTCGCACGCAAAAGTTCAGCACATTCTGTCTTCAACGTCGTTTCAAATTCTGCAAATTCTTTCTGCCCCCATTCTTGATCTAGAGAGTTCATTGCTCTTGCATACGATGGACATGTCTTGAAGTCTTTATGGTTTTGGTATGAAGAATTCTCCAGTTCGTGGACAAAGTTCAGTAGATTATTTTTATTTCGACTAATAAGGTTCTTTCGTCTGTTCCGTTCTTCAAGTTCACGTCGGTATCCGTCGTCAATGATCCGTAAGGTTCTTCGTTCTCGATCCTCGCACCATTTGTTGACATCTTCTTCGAGTTTTAATTTCTCGTATTCTTTAAAGGCTGATTCGACCTCGTCACGCCAATAGTAGGCAATATTGTTTATTGTTTTTGAGGGAAGGCACGAAATAAATTTCTTTGGATATTGAGAAATGGATGAAGAGCCGTGTGGCAGGTCTGATCTAAGGATAGAGGAATAATATGCAAAAGGTGTCAACTTGATTTGGTGTGGTTTCGTTACGTTAGAGGTTACCATCTGATATGATGATAACTTCAAAACCCATAACATCTGAAATGTCATCATCTTACCTTAAAGTCTTCTTTACCAAACACTTCTGGCAACATCTCACTCTAAACACCCAATGAACAGTTGGCACTACTTTTCGACTACAAAACTGGCATCCTATTTCCACCAATGTCATTTTAACGTAAGTGTATTCGTCCATTCCATCAGGAGGTGCTAATAATGTAGGCATAAAAGAAATTCTTGACAATTTCCACATGTCCTGCGTCATCATAGACTCTTTAGTACAGAGAAATTTGTTGTAGCGCCGGCACACACGACTGAGTGAATATAGGTCGATGGGTCGGAGGTGTTCACATATCTTGACAAATATTTCAGGGGGAATGGATAGAGCTGCCAAATTCGTGGATGTGTCTATCTCTTTAGGGCAACGTTTACGACGGCTTTTTTTTGATGGAGGCATTCTCTGAGCGAACTACGCGCGAAATGCAGCGCTTTTCGAGAAATCAATACTGTAGTTATAATAATATTGTCTCGATTAGCAAAAGGGCATACGAAGTATAAAGTATGACAGTCGAAAAACGACAGTTCCACACGAACAACTTGCCTTTCTATCGTTGTTGCTTTCTCTGAAAGGGAAAAGTACTTGTATTAAACCCACATGTATTTATAAAGGGGTGTATATTGATCACGTGTGAAAATATCCAAAGCATAATTCAGGGAAACGGTGTCGTTTGAAGAAGCGTAATAATAATAGTAATAAGAAGGCCAATTGTCGAAATATACAGTCACTTCAGATATAACAAGCTGGGTACTTGACGATTCATTGCTATTTACAGTAGGCAGGAACACCTCTGGTTTCTCAGCAGTACGATTGCTATTATCCTTCCGTAATACTCGTTGTGTATTATTATTAGGTATGTTGACGTTTTTATTAGAATCATTCTTTGACGTGAGCATACAAGTCTTCATCAGGAAAACCTGGTATGCATGATACATTGAGCGGAGAAAACGGAATTAAAGACGTGGGGAAGAGGCTAGATTACCGGCTTCTAACGTTTCCACTTCAACTAGTAATTCTTTCGTTTAATGTGTTCAAGAGTATTATAACATGTGGCCAAGTGAGTCGTATGGTTTGTTTCTAGAGTTCCTTGCAAAATTGATGTCACAGCATTCGACGAAAAGAAATGGCTACTCCGAATGCGTTGAATAACTGGATTTAATGCAAGCCATATATGGAGATTTCTGTTTCCTTAATTATGTTTTGTGTATTGAGGTGGTTGCCGTCGACGATTGTGCTGGAATGTTTTACAGATCTGGTGTCGGAGTGACCATGTTCTAAGCATAGACTGGCGTTTCATAAAATTTGTCCTGCTAAATCACGTGACATATAATTCGTCCTTTTTTTAGCGATATCCGTTTACACATTTCGTGCTCTCCTTTACCGATAGTCAACAATGGTAGAGTAATCATTCATATAACAGATCAATCGCAATACATTGCTTCTGTGACTAAGTCGACTATGGTGTTGTTTAATAGGGTGGAACAAGAAAGTACCCATATCCTAAGGACGTTTGGTATGTAGCAAGGGTAAGTGGTTTCGTATCTATTGAAAAGCTGCAATAGTAACTGATTTGTACTCATTTAACAGGTCTCCGGGTAGGCAACAAAGATGAACATTGATTGTCATATTTGTAAAGAAAATCAGTTTGGGGGGTTGAGGTTATGGGCAGATGGAGAATTAACTTTTTACAAACTCTGATGGGCTGATTTATAACATACACCCCCCAGTATCTAATAGCCTACATCTCATTCGCCTGTTATTCTAATTTTATTCATTACTTTTGACTTATTTCTTTACTTACTATTTTATACTTATAAACTCTCGTAGCGGGTGGTTGGTGGCCGAGCCCATATAAATGGAAGAGTAATACTCTGATTATTACGGGTGGATTGGCTGTTTTTGTTGCAGTAACATGGAAAATATCAGCTGACAGAGAGGTAAGTTCTGATCAGAGTCATCGAACAAAAGTAAACGGGAATAAGCATTGAGCCCTAGCTTGGGTACCATATAATGGGTTGTGCTGTGTTGTGTTGTGTTGTTCACTGATGATGCTTTTAATTGTTAATCAATCGATGTGTAATTGATACAAACATGAAAGATGTCATTTAGGACTATTGTTGTTGAAATTTTTTCACTTTCCTAATCTTGTTTATACTTTTATGTTCAACAGTGGAGACATAGTCCTCCAAACAGATGGATTCCATCAATGTTGGTAAGAAACAAGGCCATTGTAATGAATCAAAGATCCAGCGACTTTAATGATGATCTTCTAACGATGAAATTTACTTTTATTTGGCAACAGTGGTCTAAACAATTTAAAGAAGGAGAGTATAAGGATCTGAAATTTTCTGAAAATAAATAAACAACGATGTACTCAATTCGCAACGGCATGTTATGTATCAATTAACCACTCTTTCTGGTAACTATCTATTGTTAAATGGTTCAGCCGTTACTGATGGTTTTGTATTGATTACTTGTCAATTCTTGTAACAAAGGTAATAGACTGTGGAGTACATAAAGGTTGTTGTAAGGGTTTAGTTGTAGTTGAATTAATGAAATAATACAGAAAGGCAACTTGCTCCACATACTCCGTTTGATTCATGTACTAGAGATTTACCATCTCAACTGTCTGATATAAATGTCGTGAGTGGCTTTATTGTACCAAACTAAATCTTCATTTCAATTATTAATAAAATGTTACGTTCCTATTATACAAGAAAAGTGTCATTATTGTAACGACGCGGACAATTTTGTGGTAATCCTAATATTAATGCTTTTCATGTTGTATGCAATATAGAAGAATGCCGGTGTGTTTGTTGGCCGTTAATACCGTGCCCAAGATTACTATAAATAAAATGCCAAAATAAGGGTTTTTGGACAAATCCCTCATGCAGTTCCAAAGTCTAACAGTAACGACAAATTAATTAATACAGAAAACTTGGGTAGTAAACTTAGCTGCTTATTGGTCATTTTCAACAACAAACTAGTAATTTCTTTAATATTATGGGTCAGTTTTATTATTAAAATCAGTGTATATTGTATATTGGTGCTCATGACACAATCTACAATGTATGTTTTAAAATTAAAACATAGGATGTAAAATACAATATAAATATATCATAATATATAATAATAATAAAATAGGCCTATGTTGTCTGCATGAGACTAACATAATAATAATAATCTGACATCACTTTCCAAATTTATTGAATAAAGAAATTAGTATTAGGGATTAGGATGGTTGGATTTCATTTCATCAGTAATTATAATATTAAGAGTTAGAAACTCATTTTGAATATGACAGGGGTCGTTTTTATAACCAATTCTAACTACAAATCCAAAAAAAAATACAAAGAAAGAGTGAGGGGTCACAGCCTTTTCCAAGGAAGACAACCTAAAAAACTTCCCAGTACTCAATTAGAATCTATCTTTGTAAAGCAAGTCTCTAGCACAATTACTTGTCATTGTGGTTTAAAATCCACAATAAAAAGAAATCAAACCCACAAGATTGCTATACTACCACAAATCACGTCATCATAAATGTGCATCATGACATCAACTTTATTTTGCAGGTAGAACTCATTGGAGTTTTATTTATTCAACCTATATTGACACGAGTCATTGAAACTTTCGGTATAGAACTTTTACCAAATTGCATATTTATTCGTTTGCCAATGTCCACGTAGTGACCAGGGTTTGAAATGAACAAGGCGTCTGAAGAAACGGCGAGGGGATAGTTTTTAGTAAAATATTCTAACGGAATACAGAATATGCGTTTGCTAGCCAAACATACCGAATTTTTACGCCAAAATTTTGTTCTATTCATGAGAATTCGAACATATTTACTTTTTTAATCGTCAGTTGGCAACGCGTCAAATACACTTCTTTCTAGTGATTCACGTTGCTGCTGTTTACCCTAACTAATGCTTTATTTGGCAATAGCTAATGAGCACCATCATCCCAAACATTTCCAATTCCAAATCTGTTAGGGGCGATAAGCTAGTGAGGGTGACCTAAATTACCTCCCCAATCTATTGCCAGATTTGGCAAACTACATACTACTAAATATGGCAGGGGGAGAACGCACTATATACAACAATATACACAGGCAAACTCGATAAGTCGGTCATGCATGATGGACCGACTTATCGAGAGATTTTAAATATTAAAACTGAGAAAAGGGCTTGGGAAGTTTTGGCCTTCTTAGGCCAAAATTGAATCATCGAGAGACCGACTTATCGAGTTTGCCTGTGTATTCATTGTTCTGCTAAAAATGGAAATAAAGGCTTTCCCAAAATACAAATATCAAAGTCTGACAACTGTTACACATAAATAGAACATTAACTGATAATATTGGGGTAAACGGAGTGTCTTCGTGTGATTGTCGAACGAATGTTTATTTCGTGAATGGAGATACAGCATGTCACGAATAAAAAAAAAGCTCTTCAAATGCGTATATTTTATACAACGCTTACGTCAAACAAGTTTTGCTATCAGATTCGATTACAAAATATCTCGATAAAATTTGAATACACATTGCAAGACCATTAGTGGCCTGTCAATAGTCTAGAAAATTTATGGCAATTGGCCAAAGAAAAGTATGCTCAAACATTAGTATTAGGGCAGTTTATAGTCGAAGAATGAAATCCTATTTCTGATAAAAATGCTAATCAATTTAGTGAAATTGTTGTATGTCAATTTGGAATTCTGTCTTGGTGGTGGATTTCGATATTGTACTTCAGAGTTGGTGCTTACTTTCAGTCGAAATAACTCTGAAGGTTTTTTGATATTTCTATACCAATAGACAAGAATTTGCGTACACAATTTCCGTTGCGAAACGTCCTTGCTTAAACTGTCCATAAACATAGGTAAATTATACCGAAGTTTCGCTCGCTTAACATAATTTCCTTGACAGGCGTATGTCGCATTATGACTGACGTAAATGAAGGAATATAGCAAACTCATATACATATCCGTCATATTCAATTGGAAGACAGTAACCCTTGAATAAAACTCGTGCGAGACTGTTTTATTCAAAATTTTGAGTCACTAAATTATAAAACAATGGATGAGATCAATATTGTAAATTGACTTTAACACGTAACCAATTCTGTAGTCATACCTGCAGCTGAATCCAGATCGTAACTGTTTCTCGGTTTGGGTAAATCTCCAGTAGGTAAGAGTTTACTAGAGTATTTACCCTCCTTTTCGAGACGTGATAAGGGTTTTACATCATCATTATAATAAACGGAATTCCATGCGTTGTCATCAGAATTGTCGGTTTTCACCTCTTTATCAAGCTCACACCAAAGTATCCATGCATCTGGACGCTTATCAGGATCCGCATCACAACATCACTCGGCAAGTTTCTTGTATTCTTCTGGTGCTGAATCTGGCATTGTTGGTCGTAGTCCGCCCAAAATGTTGCATAATAAATCTCTATCAAACTGCCTATCTCTAAAAGGCGGTTCACCAGTAGCAATCAAATACATAATGATCCCAAAAGAATACACATCTGATTTCTGAGTAAATTTGCAGGTATGGAAAACTTCTGGTGCAATAAAGGGTAAAACCCCTTGAATAGTAGAATTGGACTTGCGCGAATTCACTGACCAAGATCGCATATGAATGATTCTGTATTATGTAAAACTATGTTTCCGCCATGAATATCACAATGCACTAACCCCACTTGATGAATATTATACAGATAATTTGCAATACTGCTCAAATACCGTAATTTCATCTTCCACGTCAGTTTGTTAATATTTTGATCCAAATAAGACAAAAGACTACCATTGTTAGCATATTGCATAACAATCATGTAGTCTTTTGTTTCTGTGTCTTGTGTCACTCCATACATTTTGAGAAATTTATATTCTGAACACTTGGCATGATTTCTGAACTATTAAATGAAATAAACATAGAGTCAGATTAAATATACTTTAATTAATGCTACCAATTTGCTTACCTCGGAAATAAATAATTCCGGCGTTTCATCCAAACTCTTAAACTGTTTGAGTACAACAGTTTGTAGCATATTCCCTTCTTCTTTATATTCGGCAGTATAAACTGTTCCATAACCACCAGATCCGATCTCTTTGAGTTCATCAAAGTTGCTATACTGCATGCACTCAACACGTTCATTATTTCGTATAAACCTGTCCAATATCTGACATATTTCATGGTAGAAAACTAAATAATATTCCCGAGTAGATGGCTTCTGAGTGATCCCAATTATCCAAATATTATCTGGGGTTAATATCTCTGGGTATTCCTGAATAAACTATTTGAGTAAACAAATGCAGTCATTACAACAATAATCTACTTGATACACACGTTAATAATACTATTTGCATAGTTCACGCATAAGATAATTACCTGATGAAAATCGAATAACTGATCGATTTGTTCGTCAACTATCCGTTTGAGTATCACTCTCGTCGCTGTCTGCTCTAACCAGTCTGCTACATGTGTGCATCCATGGCGTAATGATGTCATCTCTCGTACGTTTGTCAGTAGAGAGTATTCAATCCATTGTATATACACATCATGCTTATTCTTCACATTACTCCACGACTCCATAATAAATGAATCTAATGACTTGTTGCCAGTAGTCCAATTGACAAGTCGTGGTGCTTTACATTTGAAACAGAATACATTTATCTTAGGTTCTAATTGACGTGTACATGCCAGACATAATCCATTCTCATATTTTATTAGACAATACCTCAGCATATGTGAATCCGATGGTAGCCCAAACGTCCGTGGTAAGAATATCTGGATGCTTATCACATAACTAGTGGATACATAATAATAAGTCAATAATTATTTAAACTATTCAATAAACATGACGTATAAGTAAATAGTTTACCTCGGCATAATATAAATAATGTGTCTCGTCTGCTATCTCAAGTGGAATCAATTTAATATCTGTATAAGTAGGTAGACCATACAAGTATACGCCGTATGTCTTAACATCAATACAATCGTATGGAATCCATTCCAAATAGGCGTGATTTGGTGAGTTTGTTTGTAATTGAGATTTCTTAATAAACTCATCGAGTTGCTTATTGTTGCTAGTCCATCCATTGGATAATTGTTTATGTCCACAAACGCACCATACGGGACTACATCGGAGTATTCCACATGCAGTGCAGAATCCATATCGAGAGTAACAATGGTAAAAGCGTCTCTCAGCAACCATGTAATAGTTATCGTTATTTGGTAAAACCCTTTATAAGGCCGTTGCGCCATTGGAGCCACCTTTTGTATCTTCTGAACCGATTGTACTTGTATGTCGGAAGTGAGTATATTCTAGCAAATTCACTCACGAGTGTTGGTGTACATTCTTCGCTACTTCCAAGTAATAATAACATCGTGTCAATGTCATAATAAATATCCGTTATTTGAAAAGATCGGAGGTAGATAATTTTGTTCCCCGGAGGTAAATTCCGTGCACGTGCATAGCTGTCCGACACAAACATAAGCCCGTAAGCAGGAGAACAAAGAATAACACCTTTTCACACTTTTATAACTGGGTTAAAAGTAAGTATAAAAATTGGTATGACTTTTTCAGTCAAAGCTTCGTTTTGCTTTAACATGTAAGTCGAAACCCCAACTCAAGTGATATCATGAATTTGTCTTCACAGCTCTAACGTTTGATGGTACTCAACAAAAGACATTAGATATACTCATAAAAAGCTCTCCGATAATTTATCAATGATGGAAGTAAAGGATTCTACTAACACCTTGAACTACACTCCTCCCATGACGAATATTTACGTGGTGGATCCTCCCGTGGATAATAATACGGGACGTCGATCCGGCAGGGAAGCGTTTTTTGCGTTTATTGCCTTTATGCTTATCGTGGCTGGAATTATAATGTTGGCATTAGCAAACACATCAATGAGACGTTGTATCAGGGACTGCGAACTCACATTCGAATTTACTGATATGACATACGAAGAAGAGCTTATGTGCGAATCTTCGTGCGTTGATTCGCACACGAATCAAAAAGATGGTGGTATTGCGCTGTTGGTCATTGGGGCCGTTTCTCTGTTAGCAGATGCAGCTTTTGTAGTATATCGACACCGTGGAAGTAATATGAGACAATGAAGGTTTGTCAAAAGAAAAAGTCCGTTCGTTAAACTTGTCAATTGGTTTCGACAATTACTATTTATATTTCACTTTGTAATAAAATTTGTCCAGTTCGAATTCGACGTATGATAAAAATAAGTGATCGTGAGGATAACTGCAAGCCAGTTTAATGCACCCGTTGATTCCATTGAATTGTTTAAAGATCAAAGATTAACTAAATTTATTGTTGAAATTTACTTTGATATTAACTCTTACCAATTTGGCCCTTTTCGGCGTTCCTTTCGTAGCCGAAAGACGTGAAGGAAACAGTCATTGATTGTCAAGTTGTCATTTATTAATTTCAAATATGTAATTATGAAGTCTGGATAGAGCTTTTTTTGGGTCCTTGTTCTTCCTCTACCACTAGCGTCAGAATTGGTATCCTCGAACTGTTACAGACGGATACTTTTCGCTTTATGCATCCTGGGCGAGACAGAAATGTCTTGGAAGTTATTAGGTTAAAGACTTTTTCATATCGGCCGTTTACGTTGACAGGCGTGTAGTAAATATTACAATATTATGAATTGATTTGACTGACAAACTTATCAATAACATTAAATAGCTTGGCCTGTTAGGAAATACTATGCTAGCAAGTACGAAGAATGTCTTACAAGAAAATTGCATTCGCTACTCAGGAAGCGTTTTTGCAAGAATATTCACTGGCAACTTACTACAAACATAAGTATTAGCTGTATTCCGATATAGCAGGTTACAAATGATGTCAGTTTAATTATAACAGAAATGCTGCCGTTCTTATCGTACTAATACAGTTACCGTCGACTGCCGATAATTCGACCGGGGTCATCGGTCGAATTATCGGTACTAGATGACGCTGAATTCTATTGTTGTATCTACATAATACAAACACTTTACGACTATTCCCCCACATTCATTTCACTCGCTAAAGCACCCGTATAAAAGGGATTACACTGATAAATCTGAAAATCATTATTCTTTTTTGTTTTGTACTGTAAGAATGACTCACCGAACAAAAAAAAACATATATCTTGCTCATTTGATTACTATGTCCATGGAGAATCGGGGAGAGGAATAATAACTTGCAAAGCGTAAAAAGCGCGGTTTTTACGAGTATAGCATCTGCGTTGCGTTAACCATTGCCTATAACAATCAACGATCCAGCTCTTGCTATTTTGGCCGTAGATTGGTTGATGTTCCCATCTTCGCCAATGGGCTATGTCTGATCAAACGGGATTTTTAGACACCAAGTGCTATTAAGCATAGTTTCGAGTATTGCCCATACTCCATTCTACTCGTTTTCATGTCCGGCAAATTCTTGGTCAAGCGCGTTGTAAGGAGGCTAAATCCAACTTTTAATCCAAACTCTTCAACGGATTCTCTGTTCAATATTCTTTAACTAATTTCAGTTTGGATAATCGAGGGGTTTAACTTTCCGCTGACATTGTTACTGTTCCTGTTTGGCATAAGGCTCTTTTTCGAAATAATCACATTGTCAACAAATCCATACATGGAAATAATTTCCTACGGCGAGGCGTGATTATTTGTGTGTCTATAGTCACAATCTCTAATAAAATCTCCTTATAGGGCCCCTATCACCAAAATCTCGGATCAAGATAACCCTGTCTATAGTCACATCTGATCACGTGTTTGTTTGATTTTGTAAAACGCGCTTCTACAAAGTTTAAATAAAATTGTCAAATGCTAGCAAGCACACAGCAATCTCTCTGGAGACAAAAAAGGCACTGTGTCTGTACAAACGGGATCATCCTAATTGTTCCGCAAAAAAATTGATGGAAACGTTTAACCTCAACGTTGACCGTTCAACAATCACTAAAATATTAAGGGAAACTGATAAATCACGTGCCATTGTCTATAATCCCCTCAGTCTAAAATGGGCTGCCAAAAGGTGTGACTATAGACAGTACGCGGATACTCTGGGTATTAGTATACATCAATTAATATGCTTGTTTGCATTTTTTGTTGTCTTCAATACAGAATCACTATTGAAGTTGTGAATCGGTGTGGCATCAAAAGACCTTCCCAAAATAAAGATCACTGCTCGGTTTCTAATGAGAATGACACGTTTGATTTAAATGAAATTTGGTCCAAATTTCTGAAGGCCTATATCCGCGAGGGAAATACATGATGCTAATCCATATCAATACAAAGTGAGCTACAATTTACTCAAGCGCGGAGGAATAAAGGAAGAACTGGAAATTGAATCGAGCAGATTGACAACGCAACGATGTCATCCAGCAAACTCCATACTTATTGTCTTTATGTCAACTCTAGCCGATTGCATTATATTGCTTAACATGACCGTTTAATACACTTGCCCAGTCTATCGTCAGAGTATACTTTGTCTCAACTTATCCTTTGCAAATTTCTTTTTTCTCTCCCACATCATCTTCCTTAACACGGTCCCCTCAACGTCTTTGACATTCTTTGATTCATCGTCGTTTTCTGCCAGTGTATTGGAGACGTCATCAAGCGTGACTCTTCCTAATAATCCCTCTCTAAACCATTTAATAAACTCCCTGGCCGCTGATTGCAAGTCTTTGTTACCAGTGGAGCTCACTTTGGTAGAGGATAATGACTCTAACACTTCGGAAATACTGTCTGTGGGAGAAGCGAGATTACACCGATGGACATATCTACCGAGACGTTAATAAAACAATTTGGTAAATAATAGTGAACATTTCCAAGCATATCAATCAACAATTGATGGACTCTGCTTACTTAAATACGGAAAATCTGTTCAAATTCCACAATATATAATCAGCCAAAAGCAATGGATCTGCTACTTGATCACACATTCCACCTGCACTCATGAATCAATGGCAAATTAGCCAATTATGCTAAACCTTCTGCTAATAAACAAACATACGTAACTCGTCACAGCGAATTTCAGGACATCTATTGGGTTTGTTACGGTCGGTATGATATTGACTATATAAAATCAATGAAAAAAATTAATACTTGAAAGAATAATACTATACATGCAATTCAGCAAAGTGCGAACATTCGTACCTGGAGGATGCATAATATAAATGAGAGGATTATGCCAAACCTGAATGTTTGATCCACTAATCTTCTGCCTGACATTGGGTGCGTTACCTAAGGAACCAATTACGATTGAATCTTGCATTCAAATATTAAGCAGCAAGGAGCGTAAAGTGGGTCACTTACCATGGTTGATTCCATAATTACGCATGGATGCGATCAAAGAATGTTTCCCGACGTGAGGCATCCCAACTATCAACGCACGAATCAATCTTCTTCTCAACGATCCTTGATACATTTGAGCTATAAAAAACAAATGTTAAAAATTAAATACATAGTTTAATATACAAACATTTTACTAGCCAATATTAAATAATCTTAACCGATAGCCTTTCGAAATATTGTTTTAATTCCTTTATTCCTTTTAGAATCGGTGAATATCACTGGATGCCCAGATTCTTTCTTTATTACCTTCCTTACATTCTAGAAACAAAATTCGCTGTTCACAGATGTTCAACAACAATGAACCAACTTGAAATCCTCCTTACCGCCTCCATGTTCTCGTCAGCTAGATTAGCCTTGTTGTAAACAATGATCCTCTCTTTCTCGCTGACAATTTCATCGAACTTGGTATTTACTGATGAAAATGGTATGTGATTCGCCATAATCCGATTTAAAACGGATCTTTGTCAAGGCATAAAAAACAATCGAGTATGATCGGTAATCACAATCATTCTTGTCATGCTTCCGAATCCAGGCCAATGAAATAAAGGATATTCTCGCATCTCTAACTTCGATGACCAAACCAATATTTACAAATCGCTCATGCAAACGCCTCAGTCCTTGCTGAGGTGGAATCCAATTCATCACAGATTTGCTGACAGGCGCAAAATCCTGTCTTAAACTAGGAAGTGGCGCTAGGCATTGTTGAGTGTTAGTGGAAGCAAACGCGAAATTGGGTTTAAAATTGGACGTGGAATTCGATATTAATCTTATGTTTCGAGAAAGGTGGAAAGAAGGCGTATATAGCAATCTGCCAGACAACATAATAATAATGACCGAATGAGAGCAAAGAAATTTATGTTAGATGATGATATTTGGATTGGTATCCGTTCCGTAAAATAATAATTGTCGTACAAAAAACGGATTACGGGAGTGTTTCCATTTACGGTTATGTTTATAACAAACATGAGTTCTATTGAATATGAAATCCTTTTCAAAAAGCATGAAAAAGCAGCTGCACAAGGATATACTCAAGCACAACATAATCTTGGAGTGTGTTATTATAATGGAAGAGGAGTAGAAAAAGATGAACAAAAAGCAGTGGAATGGTATCAAAAAGCAGCTGAACAAGGATATGCTCAAGCACAAAAGAATCTTGGTGTGTGTTATAGACATGGAACTGGAATAGAAGAAGATGAACAAAAGGCAGTTGAATGGTATCAAAAAGCAGCTGAACAAGGATATGATCAAGCACAATATAATCTTGGTTGGTGTTATAGACATGGAACTGGAATAGAAAAAGATGAACAAAAGGCAGTTGAATGGTATCAAAAAGCAGCTGAACAAGGATATGATCAAGCACAATATAATCTTGGCTGGTGTTATGATAATGGGACTGGAGTAGAAAAAGATGAACAAAAGGCAGTTGAATGGTATCAAAAAGCAGC